AAAATGTCTTTATTTTGAGAATATCTTTGAAAATACAATTATATTATATTATAATACAGTATAAAATGACCTGGAATACACTTGATTTTAAGGACATTCAAAATATTCCATCATAAACGTCGAGCCTGTTCATCTTTTTAATATTAAATTTCTTTAATATATAAATTCAAACCGCTTGTAGTGATACTTAAAATAACCGATTATCGATGTGACTTGTCAGTCCCGAAACATATTAATGCTTTCATTTGACCGTTACATTTTCGACATGCCAACCGCAGCGGCGGCCATCATTGTTTTTCAATAAAGTACGTTCGAATAGATTACAATTTATTGTCGAAGTCATCGCTTCCAAATATTCATAAAACATGAATGCAGTAATATTTCAGACAACTTTTTTCTAGCCTTATTCAGTGTTCCCATTTGTAATAATATGTACATATTTAATTTAATATTTGAAATATAAAAAAACTTCATAAAGAAAGAATTCACTTTAGTGACACAGACACAATTCATTCGTCTAATAAGAGCAGCACGGAAAGTGTAAAATCTAATGGAAAGAAATGGAATTGATTTAGTAGTGATGAAAGTGTTTCTCGGAAATTGATTATAACATATGACAGTATTCTTGAAATATCAGAACAGATGAATGGGATTTAAAATTGAATAATACATATTTGTGAACCAGTGATGCAAAAACTGACCCGACTGAAAAATGTAAAATTGAAAAAAAAAATACAAAGAAACTAGACGTTTTCGTTACGAAATGAATTTATATAGAAATAGTGCATGCAAATGCACATGTTTTCACTTTTTATCATCAAAGATTTCATATTTAAAATAAAATTCATGTTCATAAAGATAGTTCCATATAGATTTTTCTTACAGCAAATACAGAGACTTACATCAATGTAATACAATTAATTTACAAAAATATTATAATCTGACACAAAAAAAAAGTTTCAAAGGAAGAAACTATAACTTTGAGCATTTCAAGCTGAATAATATGACTTGTACGGCTATGGAAAAAGTTTTGCTTTAAAGACCTCTTATATTCTTAAGTTTGCCAAGCAATCTTGTAAAAATGTTTTTAAAACAGGAAAGTAAACTAACTAAGTTATGATATCATCCACTCATTGTAATATAATGTCAAATAATGGAGAACTCTGATAACAAATATCTAATACAACTCAATATTAACACATAAATGACTTGTGGCTAGAAGCTAACAAAAATTCTTCCGTATTATGCAAGATACACTAATTATACAAGAATTGCGTATCATAACAAAGGCATGTCACCGTCTAATAAATAGCTTAAAATGATAAAACAATTTTATTCTAACTTTAATTTTGATACCATCCATAGTCTTAAAATCATTGTACTTAAAACAAAATTTTGACAAACAATTCTAAGTTTAAAAGGGACATTACGCCGAAAATAAAGATTTTAGAACCATGCACCTAATCTAATAATTTTGCATATATATAATCTTTTATTCCACTTTTCAGTGACTGATATAACAATTAATTAACACATTTACATGAGAACATAACATAATAACATACGATTACTGATTATATACACGAAAAGCATGTCATACACAATGTCATACATTAAATATAGAGTTACATTATATAGAATTATAACAACCTGCATACACAATGTTAACTTATTAATAAGCACATGATATATTGTCAATGTTCGACATAATGGTATTTACTGAATATTTTTATGCACTTTTACTAAATATTTTCCCGATTACATTTATAACTTATCGAAAACACGAAATATAAGTGTCATGTAAAGGAACATTTAGTATGGATTTATTATATTGCATTTAACCTTAGAAGTCTAAGATAAACATCCTCTCATGGAGAATGTTATTAGAATGTTCTAGAGATTACTTTTTATATTCCATCGTTAGGTCGTGAACGTATTTACAACATAGGTTGGTGAAGCCTTTTTGGAGTTCTGGATTAATACCAAAGACAGCCAATAAATTGGAATCAAAGAGTCCTCGCAAGAATGCTTCCGAGTTAATTCTAAGAAAATAGCTGCAAACTTCAGAGCTAAATTTCTGATCAATTGAATGTGTAAAGCGTGTCCGTTCACGTGTATATGTATCACATTCAGCTAAGATATGTCTGTTTATATCACTAGTTTCTTGTAGACATTTTGTACAGGAATAACTTGTATAAAACTGTCGATATAGAAGTATTTTCGTTGCACTTATAGCATGTTTAATCTCACTGTTTGTATTTGAAAACAGCCATAAATGTAAAGGCGTTACTGATTGATGAACTGCTATAAATCTGTCAAAATCTCTATCACTGTTAATTCTTTGTTGCCACATGTTGTTTTGTGTATGTGTAATTGCCTTTTTAATAGTATTTTTCCACGAGTATTTGCATGGAAAATGTGCATGTTTCATGTAGTCAGAAATGAAATGGAATAATCCGTATTTGTACAATAGTCTGCATATTTCGGGAACAAAGCCGCGTTGATTACAATAACCTTTCATAACAAATAAGTTAAGTCTGTAATTAAATAGTTTTCTTGACAGATAGTGTGTTGGTATAGTACACAGTTTTTGTAGGAAAGTTAGCTTTCTCTGGTCTATGTCAGCTTCAATAGTAAACCATCCCAGTGTGCTCAGAGCCATGTCCGTTCTAGTTGACTGTGGGAGATGTTGTATTTGTTTCGCTGCCAATCGTTCAAATCGTTGGATCTTTACAATGTCAGTATTTGAAATGTTATGCCATTGTTCAGCCCCATAGAGAAAGGTTGAAAATGATACTTTTTTTACTAATGATGCTAGGGTCAGTGGATTTATATCACCAACATTTTGCACGACAACGACGATGGCGATGCCACTGAGAGTATAATACATGCAGTTCGACATATCTGTTTTAACAAACGAGCTAAATTTTGAAAATCTCTCATCTTATGTTATGATTTCGATCATCTTTTTATATAATTTATGCGTTTTTAAGATTGAACTTTCTACTGTGATCGAAGCTCCTTCTTAACTTTCGTTACCTTGATATACAACTATACTAACGATACACTTCCTGCCATATATCATTACTACATGCAATTCATTTTGTATTAAAAATAAAGGCGCTTAGATTAAGTATATAAAAAGGATTTGTCTGTTTCTTATTTCATATTTAACGTGAAAAATGTTATTACTAATACACCGTAATTTAATTTATACACATTTGCATTAAAAACAAAACTCAGCAAAGCAATGAAAACTTCTTCGGTTTTGTCATTGCTTATTTTGACAAGCGCATATTCAAAAATAATATTTCAAAAATTATCTAAATTAAATATATTTCCATACATCCGCGTTGTGTTATAAATGAAATCTCTTGTTGGGAAATCGTGCGTGTGCATTATTGTCTTTCTATGGTTGCTTAAAATTTGAATTGGTGTGCGGTATCACTTAAATATCATGTTTCTGACAGGTTAAAACGTTAAAATATATATTGCTAAATGAAATCGAATATCTACGGAGCCCCTAAGGTGACATTCTCGACACTTTTCCCCCGGCATTTAATTCGTTTTTACGAAATATTAATTCGTATTTACGAAATATCAATTCGTTTTTACGAAATATTAATTCGTTTTTACGAAATATTATTTCGTAATTACGAAATATTAATTCGTATTTACGAAATATTAATTCGTTTTTACGAAATGTTATTTCGTAATTACGAAATATTATTTCGTAATTACGAAATATTATTTCGTTATTACGAAATATTAATTCGTAAAAACGAAATGTTATTTCGTAATTACGAAATATTAATTCGTTTTTACGAAATCTTATTTAAGGTCATTTTGAGCTTGATAAAGAACCTATTAATCTCACAAATGGGTCATTTACATGCCTTGATCAACTTTGCGATTATGAGCCGAATGGTTCTCAAGTTATTATATTTATGTGAACAGGGTTTTTGAGTGAGAAGTCATTCTCTATCCAAAATGGTCTTTTTTCCCCATTGTCAAATACATGTTCCTATCAGCAATGTTTTAATGTTTGAGACAATCTTTTACGACATGTATCTTTAAAACAGAAACATGCCATATTATTCCGTTCTTTTATCATATACATTAGTAAAACTAATGGGACGGGGGGGGGGGGTTGGTCCAGACTTTCACTAATCTAATCAATTTAAAATAAATATTTCCTCACAATTTATTATAAGAAATGTCCGTGTTACGATTTGAAGCAAGGGACCCCCATTTTAAGTAAATTTTCCTAGCGCGCGTACCATCACGGCTGTGGCTCAACGCTATTAACATGCGATTATTTTAATTTATGTACAATAGTGTAAAGTTAAAAAACTTGGGGAGAACAAAAATCACTATTTATATTGCATGTACATGCCTTATATTAAGTCAGGAACTTAGTTTTGAGGCCTTATTTATAACTATTACCAAAACTCTTTGAAACGCTAGAAAAAATTTAATTCGTTTTTACGAAATATTATTTCGTATTTACGAATTATTATTTCGTAATTACGAAATAACATTTCGTTTTTACGAATTAATATTTCGTAATTACGAAATAATATTTCGTAATTACGAAATAATATTTCGTAAAAACGAATTAATATTTCGTAATTACGAATTAATATTTCGTAAATACGAAATAATATTTCGTAATTACGAATTAATATTTCGTAATTACGAAATAATATTTCGTAAATACGAAATATTATTTCGTAAAAACGAATTAATATTTCGTAAATACGAAATAATATTTCGTAATTACGAATTAATATTTCGTAAAAACGAAATAATATTTCGTAAAAACGAATTAATATTTCGTAAAAACGAATTAATATTTCGTAAAAACGAATTATTATTTCGTAATTACGAATTATTATTTCGTAAAAACGAATTAAATTCCGGGGAAAAAAGTGTGGAAAATGTCACCTTAGGGGCTCCGTAAATATCCCCTGTAAATAACACGATAGATTAAATTTATAGTATGGAATTAGATGAGCGTGCCATATTTCAAAACGGCCTCCTTATGTGATTGAATAAAGGTAACGTTAAAACAGATCAACAGTAAATTTATAACTTTCATGTATTTATTTTGATAAGGAGAAAACGGTTTAAATAATGTGTATTGATATTCAAGTTACAAAGTGTTAAGTCAAAGTTGCACACAGATTTTCCACTTCAAACAAGATAAATCAATTGATTATACTTTCATTTTTTACAAAATATGAAAGTGAAAGAAGGCTGTTTTGTTCTGATTATCTTATGCAACTGCATTATTTATTTTTTCACCAGATCACCAAGTCACCAGGTGGGGAGTAGAAAACTTTGCCAATAATCTGGTGGACAGGCGGTGCTAGAAATTTAGTCACGTCTCCTGTTTGCCAAGCTCGATAAAAAGACGGTGTGATCCAGTCATATGTTCTTTCTTCGATAGCTTTCACCTGTTTGGTATAAAACATATTGAAAACGTGGGTCATTTTAGGCTATTATAATAAAAATATTGTTTTGTATTTATGTTTGAAATAAAAATGTCTAGATTAGAAAATCAAAAGCTGTAAATATTATCTGCGTTTATATTATGACATATTAAAAACGAAGATGCTACGTTTATGCTAATATCTATATGATTTTAAGTCGAGCTAAACCTGTTTGCTTTTAGCCTGTCCATATCTACACTCTGTGGCAAAGTGTTCACAATTGTTGGTCGCTAAATTATACCCACGCCTACCAAGTCTCTTTTTTGCTCGCTTAACGATTTCTGCTTTATTAAAGGGCCTGAATATAAATATACCAACACTATTTAAATGGAATAAAGAAAACTTATACAATCGCATTCATGAATATGTATTTTGAATGTAACATTTTGTTAAGATAAAATAGTTATTGGACAGACGTCAACATCCAAACATGTTTTTTTCTAAAACATTTATATTTTTCCAAAAATATAATGCAAATGCTTTTGTATGCAACGTAAAATGTTCTAGAGACACTGATACTTACCTAAGTTCATCGTCAAACTCATTGTTTCGGTATGTCTTTGACCCTTCTGCAACTATTTTTATGTTGTCTCTTCGCTAGTGCCACTTTTGATGTTTGTCAGATTAAATTTTCCCGTAGCAACATCAGGATCCGGTGATAAATGAATGACTTCTTCATTACCTTAAAATAAATATTGATAATTGCTTGCTTCTTTTAATTTTATGTCAGTTTTATCAGGTTAGGCTTATATTTGCTGGATAGGGGACGTTTGTCACCATCCGAACTGATCATTCTAGGTTTGTAACTAGCTATAATCTGTGTTATCTATGTAAAATCATTTTTATTTCAGACCATATAACGGCACGTGATGTTGTTATACTAATCATAATTTGATCCAATCTTATCAATTTACCTGCACCCTGAAAATCCGAACCAAATGCATATTGTAAAAGGATTTAACTCAATACAGGATTGGAGCAGTACCTGTAGACGCTTGCATAAATCATGATCACAAAATAGACAAATATCGTTTTTTTCGTCAATTTTTATATTTTTCATACATTATCATACATAAATCGGTGTAAAAAGATGAATTAGACCTATTAAAGTTCATTCCGTTAGGTAAAAAGGCAAGATTTTAGCATTTTATGATTCAAGCCCCTTGCCCGGTATATACCGGAATACGGTATTTAGTGTGGTTCTCCAATCCTTTTTTTAGTCTCACTCCTTGTAAAACATCTAGTCATTTTGCGATTTTCAAATTTAAAAACCTTAATCAAATCGAAAGTGTACTCAAGTTAACAGTGTATCTAATATCAAATCACTGTTATGTGTGTTATCTTAATCTAATGCGAGATCACAATAAGAATTGGTGAATTTGAAATTGTGAACACAGTTTAGTATTAAAATATTACTGCTCCTCAAGCACGATATACTAGTCTGTACCGGCAGTTAGTTGTAAGATGTTTATTAAAAAAATATGTCTTCTCATACGTTATCAGTACTATATAAACAATCGCTTAGGGGAGTCGCGTATAATGTAGTGATTAAAGACTGTTTTTTTTTTGTTCGTGAGAAACAAAATCATACCGATTTTGCTAAAATTTATTGCACTGATAACAGCTTATTTTATATCATTTTGTATTTACAGATATCGATATCAATGTAATTACAACAAATTCTAACACGACCCGCATTTTTCCCTATTGAACATAGAAGAACCGAAAGTGTGTGTTATTATGCTATAAAGTCACTGTTTGGCGTTCTATATGTAGACATGTGACGTAATCATTATACACGTGACGTAACCACTATAAAATTCGACGCGCTGACAATAAGTATGCCTAATTTTGCTTAATATCAGGTACGGCAGCATTTATTTGTTAATGTCGTGTTAGAATCGAAATAATATATCTTATCGCTGGAAAACATCACTGTTTGTCGTTCGGATGCGCATCATTATTATATCACTCGGGCTACGCCCTCGTGATATAATTCCTCGCATCCGAACTCCAAACAGTTATGTTATTGAGCGATAAAATCACAGTTTGGGATATATTATTTCTTAAATATATCTTAGCGTGTAAACAAGAGTAGACTATAGCCGAAAAAAAGTAAATAATGACGAAAGAAAGAAAAAAGAATAAACAATAATATACAGTTCACGTGTTTTTTTATTAGATGGATACTTACCAACATAAACAGCCCAGTGAGAAAACGTCCCCATTGCACGGTAAAACTCAATTAAATCACCTTCTTCCAAATCCCTTATTGTAATCTTTCTTTTAGACGAAAAGGCCATCTCTCCTCATCTATCTGTTGTAACAAAGTTAATGTACATGTAATATACTTTACAATAAATCTACGCAAATCAATACTCTACAAAAAGATTAAAACGTAATAATTCATTGAAAGGCTCAATTTAAATAAGGAAGTTTAATCTTAAGTTGATAAAGGATATAGTTTGAAGCGACTCGTTCGAATAAAAAAAAAACGCACGTTTTAGTTTACTTCAAGCTACAAAGTATTAAGTTTAAGGATAAATTTTTCAGGGGAAGTGTGTAACGATTTTACCATATAAAGTTACATCATTTGTCTCTAGGTGCGAACGTATAGGGAAAACAAATTGCATGGCCGCGTAATACTACCAGGTGCTTATGTAATACAAATCATATGGCCAAATTTATACTTTCGCGTATGCAAGTAGCAAATAAAAGATTTCCCTTATTTATTTAAAGCAACTGCCATAATTGTAAATGAAAATGATTGTTTCAAGCGAGCACTCCACATAATCTTTTATGCAATGATTTGTATACGTTTAGTTTATATTTTCCTTCTAATTGTGCTATCATGACACTGCAAAGGTGATTTAAAATGATTCAAAGTAGTCAGGAACATGACTCAAAACTTGATGGATTATTAGATAGTGCAACTGATTCATATAGCGAAAGTTTAATTGATCCCCACCTGCATCATATTAAAGGGCTATTACAAAGAACGATACGTCAATGAGAAAAAATAAAATACATTTTTATGATGTTCATCCATTATATAAATGAAATCATTAAGTTACATACAATCATTCGTAAATAATTACACATGTATAGCAAATTTTGTTTGGTAATTATCTGTTAAAAAGACTCTTCATTCTTAGTCTAATGATAATATTTACTTACCGGGTGGAGGGTGGAATGTTAATATGCCATCTAAAGAGTTTTTTATTTCTCCCATGACACATTCATTGCTTCAGTAAGTGTATCAACATCCTGGAAAACATTCTGGACACACGTGCACCACTTTTAATGTCTTGCAATTTTAATTGTCATTTAGCATCTAGATTTAGAGATAGATAAATCACTCCTCAATTACCTTGAAAGAAAGAATCATGTTTATATCTTCTAGCATACTAGACAAATTCTAGTATTTTCTCGGGTCTGGCATACATAGCATTTTTATTTTTAGGCTTGCTTTCGATTCAACCATTTTGAATACAGTTGTGAATACATAAGCCATAGTAACTAATATAAAAATGAAGAATCCATTTTTTTCTCGCTTTTTCCTTTCTAAACAAAACCTTTTAGTAATATAATAGAAAAAGTTGTCGATACAGATGGAGATATCTGCCATTTTGGAAGCTGTTTAACATTAAGAAACAGTTAAACTTAAGTCTTCGGATATTCTCGTCGGCACTTATAGTCTGTTTATGTTATAATTAAAAATAGTGTTTTTATACACCGTTCGAAAGTAAAGACACATTCAGTACATAAAGCTTCCCATATCGTTATTTAGATTTACATAAACATTCAAAAATCAATCCTGTTGTTGTTCTGTGTCTATTGCAGCTGCCATTTATATTTGTTAAATTGGACTGTATCACTATTGAACGATTTTTCTTTTATATATTTCAAACAGTAAGACATACTTATAAATGAATTTTTTCTTACTTTGACCTTCAAATTGTGTACAAAGTTTGATTTAATAAGAGTACTCAGATTTCTTCTACATTACATTTAATCAATATAATAATGATTATGTAAAACGTTTTTAACGCTGGAACGTGATTCAAGTTTATGCCATTGAAATATTTTCTCAAAAGGTTAATGACTTTTAGCGTTTGCTAGCAATTCAATTAGCTTAATGATGGTAACAATTTATGAAGTTGTTAGAAGCTTTAGAAGATTTAATTATAGATGTTTTGCATCTCTTTTAAAATATTTGATTGGACGAACGCTGATTTAAATTGTTCTAGACTAAAATTATTTTATCTCGCTGAATCAATATTGAATTTTGATGTTAATGCAGTGATTATAGCACAAACATACATGTATCATTTAAAACGATCGGATGACAACGCAGTTACGTTGTATAAATAGGTCATTGATCGTAAAACATACGACGTTAACCCACCTTTTCATGTTGTTTTGCTCAGAAAGTTTGTTCAAACATACGTAGACAAGAGTTAAGCCTTTGTCACACCAGTATTAATCCTTGCAATCTTGTTTAGTCTGTATCTGTGTAGTCTGGCAAGGTCATTTGCTATTTCATAGTTCAATAGTAGTTCTATATTGGAATTCCTTAAACGTAAATGAACTGTTCGATGTTGAAGCTGAAGTAAATCAGCATGATAAAAGTTAATCGTTGTTAAGTTAAATAGCTTGTAATTGCATGATTATTTTATTAATTAGTCTTGCAAATATAACTAAGTAGCTTTGCTAACGAAATTGTTTGTTATAACAAAGAATATCGAACTAATAGTACTGCTGTTAAAGTACATACACTATATAGCCACTTCTAGGTGCTCGTGCATTTCAGTCTGTTTAAGAAAACGACAGAGCTGGACCTTTTTTCTTTGAAATTCGTTATCATTTTTTTTTTCATTTTGAAAAAAATACGTAAAATCAGAAACTATTTAATTAACATTTATGCTATGAATTGAAAGGTAATTATTTTCGAAAGTTATAAGTCAAATTTGAAGCAACAGTCATTTTGCATTACTGTCATTGAATCGGTCGAACGTTCCACCGCCGTTTACTTAATAGTAATATAGTGTATACAATTACTGAGCGTATAACATAGCTGATTAATAAACTCGAAGACAATCTTGTTAAATATAGCTATAGTCAAGGCTAACCTTATTACCGTCCATATGACTAATTTGCCTGTTGGGAAATAAATATTTCTGTCTGTGAATATTCTTATGAATTTATAATAAAACTATGAAATTGCTTGCGTCGTATATAGGACATTTCTGCTCACATATTTAATAATGCAAGCATTGAAAGCGATTGTTTACAAAATCAAATGTGATGTGTAAAGATGATGTTTGAGAATTAATTCATATGTCGTCTTGAAATCATTTTATTTTGCTTTATAATATACATGTATATACATATAGATGATTTTGAATATGTTTTCTGCATCTGCAGAGTTAATGACCTATCTATAATAAATGTTGTATTGAAATCAATTTTAATCGAACAGAAAATAGAAATACACGGCTTAAGCTTTCTTATAACAAGCCCGGTAAAATGTCGCTCCACTTCAAAATTTTGGTGTATGGAAAACGAGCGGACGAGTTAAAGCGAATGCCGATTTAGATGATGAATTGTACGTATTGTTTATGTTTTTGCTTTGTAATGTCTTCAATTCTGCGATCTGTTGAACATTCCACTTCCAAACCTTAAAATGTTATACACTTCTGATTGCTGGAAATAATTTTATTAGAAAGAAAATATCCACCCGTAGCAAAAACTTGTCTTTCCTGCAGATTTAAATACTCCTGGTCGATTTCTTAAATTTGTAAATCGCTGTTTTTCGAAAGTAGTTAGCAATAGGGCAAGATGTGGAGCCAAATCTTGATGCAATGTTCAATAAATTGTCGCTCACTTCGTTAGGGGAAAAGTTACCCCGTGTTTGATTTTAATTTCTTTTCACAACAGCTTAGGTTATTTGAAGTTTGAAATATTTCTACAAGGAATAACATTGATTTTTTTTAAGAAAAAGAAAAGAAACACTGGAAAGAATTACATCAAAATCACTAACAATAGTTACAATTCAGCATCTTAATCACTTTTGTCATTTTTTACTTGGTTCATAAACAACAACCTTGGCCGATGCCCACGACAAAAGTAACCCCTTTGTCAAGGCAAAACAATAAGTTATATTATAAGCTATGCATCGATTAAAGACCCTGTAATTTTTATTGCTTTATTTAATAAATCGAATGCTCAAATGAGAATATATCAATATTGTAAGGTTCAAAAAGCATCTTTTTTAAAAAAAAAGTGTATACAGTAAACTTCACTTATAGCGAACATTGTTATAGCGAACTTCCGGTTAAAAGGAACAATTAATTTTGGCCCGAATTTTGCCCTTCTTTATCTAATACAAAAATATACGGTTATAACGAACGCGGTTATAAGGAATAATCGCTTATAACGAACTCATTTCTAAGTCCCAATTCAGTTAAAAGTATAGAAAATTACACTTTTATAGCGAATTCCAAAATATCGGCTATCCGTAAATATATCTCAACTTTCTTTTGCATAGGTATGAATAAAAAAACTCACCCAAATGCACCGTTTATTGTTGTACGTACTTCAATACAGCTATGAAAACGAATTTGTATAGCAGTACGTAATAGTTTTCTACTTCGGATATTTTAAGCATGAGTTCTTGTCACCAAGATAAAATGGTAATTCCTTTTATTGTATTATTTCTTTTCTTTAATAGGTTTGCTCGAGTAAAATGATGATGATCATTTATAATCGGTTTTCAACATAATGGCGCATGCTTGTTAATCCATTGAAAACTATTGTATTACCGAATGTAGCATTCCATGTATAAGCTAAATACAGGGGGGTAATTAGAAATTTATTTCCAATAAAGTTTAAGCTATTTCTTTCATCCAATAAAAATGAATGCATTAATTTCTATATTTCAAAATATAGCATTTGTTGTACATATTTAAATTATTCGTGGACGTTTGGAAATTATTTTGGAAGAAAATGTACGTAATACTATATACATTTATAAAATTTCACTTAACAGTATGTTAGAACCTTAATTACAGCAAACATGTACAGTTGCAACATAAAGAGGACTATCAATAAAGTTTTTTGTTTTATGTTAACATTATGTGTTTCTTAGTCTATTCAAATGCAATTTAGAATTCCAAGTGTTAGTTTGGCATTAGTATGAATGCTACATCTTATACATTGCAGATATTATTAGGACAATGCCATTGTCTTTTCATTAATAGGGTCTTGCATATGCATGACAGTTTTGTAATTTTCTTGTTACTCGAAATTAATGCTGTACATTATTAAGTC